ACTAGAGCACACCTAGACTCACCAGAAGAGTTGAAGTTGATGTTCGCCCAGAGGATGTGGATGAGGACAGACTGTTCTGCTGGGTGGGTAACGTACTGCGGAAAGAGGAATAAAAGGTTGTCAAGCCAAGGTGCAAGAGTCACCATTGGTAGCACCAGGCCAGATCCCGCTCCCCGTCTACTTGGATGGGATGAATCAACTCAGTCCTCCCTACTGCACGAGACAGACTTTGATGTCTACTACAGATCCCTGCTCTAGTTCTGCTTCTCTAGAAATCCATCCACCGTGCTTGCTCACCTGCTGAGTTGGGCAGTGGTTGTACTGGGGAGTTCCTCACTGTGGCTCAGGCTGCTCAGAGCTGTCGAGTGTTGGCTGGCTGTCGTCAGCAAGGACGATGCAGATACCCCATCATTGAGAGGCGTGATACTGGGAGCAGAGGGGGAATCAGATTTCACTGCGGGGCCTGTAGCACCTGCGAACAAAAGCTTTGGATTAGGGGCAGCTACTAGCAGCTCCTGGAGGGCAAATTCAGAGGTGAGGATCAGCAAAGGCTCAGCTAGAGGAGCTGGGAGATCTGGGGCTTCCCTCACTGCTGCCAACCAGTTAAACACTTGCGACAGCGTGATTGTGTTCTGTGTCTCACTTTACCCCACCACTGCCATCAGCTCTGCAAAGAGTTTCAAGACCTACAGGTGAGGTGCCTTTCACAAACAAATCAGAGTAAATTATTGTCATCAGGGAGTGACTCATGAAGGATCTCATGGATCTGTCAGCAGAAAGCTGAACATTTCAAGGCAAGCAAATAATCTGAGTGGCAGCAATTAGTCCATCAGGGAAAGAACTTGCTATTAGCACAGATAAAGCTTTTCATCCAAAGCAAAGAATATGAGCAGTACAAGAGACTCAGGACACCCACTGCACTGACAGACTCTTACCTTCAACGGCCTGTGTGGTTTGTAATGGCGTGGGTTGTACAGAACTGAAACCATTCTGAGGAAGAAGAGAAAAAGAGTACTGGGCATTGCAGCTGCTCATTTCCAGAGGCAGATCTACTGTCATCCCCCTCCCACACTCCCTCCTCAGTTGTGAAAAAGGCATGCTACCAAGACATGTCACCAGACTGCGTCGTGGTCAGTCCCAAGCTCAAGTAGCCCAGTGCCGGCATGACCCCCAAGCGAATATTTGAGAAAGCAGCACAAGAAGTTTCTCTGCTGCTGGTAGTTAGACTGGCTCAACACCCTCAACCCAAGTTCATTAGCCAAAATTGGTGTTACTGAACTTGTGTGCAGCATGCAAGAATCGAATCATTACAACAAAACTAAATCCTTAACCTGAATGCCACTCTGCAGCATGGTAATTATGTGTGACACAACACATGGCCTGCAACCAACTTAACCGCTGCTAACATAACTAAGGGCTCTGGCAGCAGCCAGAAGAAAGCTCTCATCAGAGTCCACAAGCCACGTGGTGAGGCTGGAGAATCACAGAAACACTTGATAAACCACTTAGCTTCCCCCGAGACAGTGCTTCACATGCTACGCTGACTCAGCACAAAGGATGAGCAAAGCTATTTTCCTACCTTGGCCTGGGTCAGATCTTTCTGGGGCGAGGAGGAGATTGAATTTGGGTATCGCCTCGTCTGGGTGGATCTCTGTTCGTACAGTGGTCCCTGAGCGCTGTTCTGGGAGGTAAACGTTGCTGTCTGTATTGTGCCGCTCTGGTAACCAGACTCCTGGCTTTGATTGGACGAAATTGTGGATGAAGATTCACTACAAAGGCAGGGGGAAAAAGTTTATGTTTTCATAGAAACATAGAATGGTTTGGGTTCGAATGGACCTTTAGAGGCCATCCAGCCCAACCCCCTGCAGTGAGCAGGGACAGCTTTAACCAGACCAGGGTGCTCAGAGCCCCGTCCAACCTGACCTGGAATGTTTCCAGGGATGGGGCCTCCACTGCCTCTCTGGGCAACCTGTTCCAGTGCTTCACCACCCTCATTGTAAAAAATTTCTTCCTTATATCCAGTCTAAATCTACCCTCCTTTAGTTTAAAACCATTACTCCTTGAGTTTTCCTCCAAAAGAGCCCTGCTGTAAGCTGCTGACCCAGACTGTAGGCTCTGCATTTTAAATCTTCAAAATAAAGGGCCCCAAACATCAGCATAAAGGCACCACACAAAGCAGCCAAGCAAACCAAGCAGAGAACCATACCCAGACAAGGGCTAGCCCAACCCCAGGATCCTAGCCTGGCACCGAGCTTCAGCCTTGCCTCACACACTGCTGTGCTCTGGGTGACATTTCATGAGCTGCCACCACTCAGGTCCCAGCACTCAAGGGACTGGCCAGATCCTAAGGGTCAGCCCAACAGAAGATAGAAACACTTCGTTTTGGCAAGGCTTCATCACCATAGATACACCTACTCCACTGCGTCCCTGTTTGCCAGGCAAAAAGCAGGACAAAACACACAGAATCTGTTCACCAGGGACAAGGAGCAGTCACACTGGGGATTCCCCTCCTGTGTTTCCAGCAACACAGTTTAACAGCAGCAGGAAATGTCTGCTTTCTGTATAAGTACCACAGGACAATCAGTCATAGAGCTGCCTGAATGAGTCTGCTGGCAACTTATGCTTTGCTGTTGCATACATTGTCCCCCCTTTGTGACCACAGCACAGCCAGAAAGGGTCTACTAGTATGCAGCATAACTAAAGTCCACAGAACCAGCTACCTTCCAAAGCTACCCGCCTCTGCCTGGCCCTCACCTAGCCGTGCTGGTGTACAGGCTGCTTTGAGATTGGCTAACAGCAGCACTTGTTGTGGGCGTCGATTCATACTCCGCAAGAACAGGCTCTGAACCAAACTGTAACGCCCCAAACTGCAGGTTTAGCCCTGAGATATCTGCTGAGCCAGGCATTTCCACCGCAAGCGCAGGAATCTGCAAGGGAGGAACAACAGAAAGGGTCAATCGCTCCCTGGGACAAGCACAGAAAATGACTTTAGTATCCACATTTCCCAGCACATGACAGTAGTTACAGGCTTGCATCCTCTGAATTACACTGTTCAACCCAGTCAGGCAAGCTTTTCTCCGTCACCCCCACAAACACCCAACGCTAACAGCAGGAAGGCCAAGCCCAGCCCTTCCCTCACCAGCCCACACTGATTTTAATGCAGCTCTAACACAATACAATGTCCCCTTCCCCACCATCGATTTGCACCTTTGATGTTAATGATGCTTTTTTCTTTTGCTGCTTCAGCTTCTGCTGTGCTGGCTGGGGACTGGAGGACTGGTTGTCCGATGACCCTGGGGACATCTGGGGAATGGGATTGGCTTTGCTGGGCAGCGGTGAGGAAGGGGGTGCCGGCACGGTTGTGGAGGCAGTCACCACAGGCTGTTTCTCCTGCATGAACACTTCTATCATGGTTGAAGTTGACGTGAAGGCCTGACGCTTGGTGAAGGGACTATGCACGGAAGAGTCTGTTGGATTCTTGAGATCTACCGGGGGAGACAGAGTAGAGTGAGCAGGATTTGTTTCCTTAAAACTAAATCAAGTTCTGACACTTCTCAGCATCAAGAAAACCATTTCACACTATGACTCTTCCTGGAGCCTGTTAAAATCAGAGAGCAGAGAACCCCAGCATCTCCACTCCCAGCCTTGCGCTCTCACCACCATCAACGCCAAGCCTTTTAAGCCCTTCTCCCCTCAGCTCCCTCCACCATCTCTACGGGACAAAGCAAGCTTGCACAGCAGAAGTCCTTGATCCTCCAAGAAAAGCTGGACTTCAGAGTCCCTTGTGTGGAGGCACTACATGTTAGATTCCTGCACGGGCCTGACACTGCTTCCTTCCCCCTCTCTGCCAACATTGCTGCATTTCGTTGCCTGCTCTTTCCCGTGCAAGTCCTGGGTATCCTCCAAGCAACATCACTGAGGGCTGCCCACCCTCAGGTCTTTGCACAACTGCACCACCCTCCTCCTTCGCCTAAGCCTTACCGCAGCTTATTAAAAAACAACTTCTATTCTCTCTGACTCTCCTCTGTAGCTCCTTGTCTGAAAAGATCAGGAGCTGCCAACGCTGACTGTTACTAGGACAGGGCTTGATTTTTCTTCAGCTTAGATTTGAACCAGAGCCATTTCCCTATAGCAAGAAATAAAACGCACAAGCTGAAAGAAATGGCACTAGTACTCGACCACAGGAGGGCTCAGCATCTCATCTGAAAAGCAGGAGCCTCTCTTAATCACTGTTTATTCTCTCATGCCAGCCCAGAGGTAGAGTTACTTCTCGACATTCAACAGTCACCAGAATCACATTCCTTGAAAAGATAACATCAGCTAACTGACAAGTGTCAGGGAACTATTCTCCAGAGGTGCCCACTTTCAGATCCCTTCTGTTACACAGCTTTACACCAGGAAATAGTTCTGCACACTGTGAGGGTCTTGGAAACACCAGATACCTGGCCCTGAAGCTGGCTGGAATGACCAAGAGGCAGACAGATTCAACTGTTCTAAGTATAAAAGGAACAAGGAAAGAGTCGCACGCTATTACATTTTACTCTCACAAGCTTGCACCCACGGTCCTTTTAATTTCTCCAGCACAACTGGCTTGGTTGCAAACTTGTGATCTGGCCCTCTGCTGAATCCCTCACACTGCTGCTTGCAGTGTGTTTCTGCAGTTCTGGGAGAACATGCTCCCCTTTGGGGAGCCACGCTGCTTTTCCTTACCATACTGCACGAGAGACGAAGTCTGCGTAGTGGATCCCATGTCCCAAGAAGAAGCAGTGGTGCTCCCACCAGGCTGGGTGTGCTGAGCAGCCAGCTGAGCCAGAGCCTGGGCTGTCTTGAACTGCTCCAGGAACTGAGAACCTGTGGTACTGCTGCCTTTGGCCTCCCCGACATCTCCAAACCCTTTCCCCAGCATGCTCACCTGCAACATCAACAATGAAATAACAAAGTCAACATCTCCCTTGGCTTGGAACTTGGCTCAGAGGACAGATACATCTCTTAACATAAGCCTGAACATGCTGTACCCTGCTGCTTTTCACTGGGTGCCTCAGCTTAACACTCTTGAGCTCCAGATGCCCACTGGCAAGGAAAGCTCATACTTCTCTCACAGCCTTTATCGCATGTGAGTGCAGGTACACTTATCTGTTGCCCAACCCGTGGCATTTTACAGTGCCATGAAGGCTTACAAAGAAAGGTAACAGATAGGATCTTTAAAAAAAAATGTACTAAGTTATTCACAAGCATTCAGTTGCACTAAAAAAGACAGCTACCAGGAGAACTTAGCTTTACAGTTAAGGTGTTTTTCAAAAATCCTTCCTGAACTATCTCACCATTGAGTGCACAATTTTTATTTCTTTTGCTGAAGTTACACAAAGAAGCATCTGCCCAGGTCGGTGCACATCCCCAATTCAGATTCAATGCCTTCTTCCTTCACCTATCAGTAGATGCCAGCATTTCATCCCACACCAAACTCCCAACAATTTGCATGCCCTGGACTGCAAGAGTTTTTCCTTTCCTCTGAGCAGGCAAGAAGCATGTGTTGCAAGGGCAACAGGGGAGGAATTACCCCAATTATTTCTAATTAAGCAATAGACTTCATGCCTCTTATTTAGAGCAGACAGACAAATCATCCAAGCAGAGGATTCTGCCACCCACAAGAAGCGAGCAGGTGTCAGAACTGTATTTCCCATATTGCTCAAATGGAGGCAGAGAACGTCAGGGAAACGAAGACCTGCCAAAACCCGCACACTGGCAGAGACCAGTATTTCCTTACCATGCTGTGGTGAGAGAAGGAGTTACCAGAGGCAGGCTGGGATATAGCACTCTGCTTGGAATTGCTGAACACCAGCGGCTGGGCCAGGGAAGGAGCCTGGGACGACTCCAGGTTTGTTGACTCATTCTCCATAGAAGAAGGTGTCTTTCCTAGCAGGACTGCAAGATCGATTCTGGGTAAAGAAAGAAGATAACCCACTGAGGTTAACATGAGCTCTGTCACACCTCTCACTTCCATTACAGCTGTATTCTACCACCAACCTCACAATTTATAGCTTTTACTTTACAAATTGAATGAATCTGCAGAATGTTAACTCACAACTGCCAGTAGCAACCTCAAAAGGACAGAGACCAAGCAAATCCTGCATAGCCTTCTATTTTAAAGCATGCCTTCCATTAATGTAGCACAGCAAAATGCCCCCAGGTCTGAAGAACCAGCAGCAGAGCCTAGGAAAACTCTAATCCAGGATTAGGACCTGGAAACTCATAACTCAACTTTTCCATTTAAATCCATCTCATCTTATTCAGAGCTGCTGCATTTTAGCTAGCTGGCAAGGTTTCGTCTGAGATGGCAAATTGCTCTGGGCCTTGTGTGCCACTTTTCCCACATAAACAACATTGCCATGGGCTATCACCTCTGTCCAGCTGTGATTGTCACATTCTCAGCAGGCAGAGGCACTGAAGACACATTGGAGGCGGTGAAGATCTTAGTCTCAGATAGCTGAAAGATTAAAAAAAAAAGGGAAAAGAATCCAAAAGTGAGAACAGCATCTTGGGACTCCAAGTAAAGCACACAAATGTTTGAGACAAACAGCCACAGAAAGCTTCAAGAAACTCAAGTGTTTAGACTTAAGCTTCTCTAATATTTGGCTCCCATCAGAATCAGCTTCTATTTCACTTGTTGCTTCTCAGGCAAGTGCACAAACCACCTGTCAGTGGAAGAAAAACCCAAATCCTCCTACAAATTTCCTCTAGTCCACAAATCCACTAGGGCTGCTGGGGTCTTAGGTGCTCTGAATTGATGGTATGCAGCACTGATCTGCAAGCCCACCGCACAGGTACGTGCAATCATTGCTAGAGAAGTCAAAGAAAAAAAGCTTCAGACCCATAGTTAAGCTTCCAATGATCTTGGCCTCACCTGGATGATCGGACCAGAGACCAACAGATCTACTTCAACTATGGAAGAGAAAATAACATTGCTAAAAAATGAATGAAGGGGAGGTTTAATGACCACCTGCGATTTAGCCCAGAACATATCTGAATATGAACAGCTTTTACTCCAGACTGAGGAGCTGCCAGCAACTAAACTGCAAGAGTTTAGAAACAAAATCAGGAACCCCTGGGAGCATATCACACACGCGGAAGGCAAGAAGGGCTATCAAAGGCTCTCTTCAAGCAGAGACCTGACTGAACAGACAGAGAAGCTGGTTGTGTCTCCAAACACAGAAGCACTTCCTTCAGACGGTGTCTGGAAAGCAAAAACCTTCCCTTTGTGCCTGTTCTGTAGGCTTAGCAAAAATGAGCATGCAAAACTAATACTACTACTAAAAAAGCCCAACCCCTCTCCTGTCTGCAAGAACAGAAGTTCTCCCTTGATTCAAAGAGGGACTGAAGCCCATTTCAGGAGAAACTGATACAGAGACATTAAAAGCAGGTGATAACAGGATCCCGTCTTCCCTGAAGGAGACCCCAGGCAGACAACAAAAAGCAGCGAGACATGCCAAAGAGCAGAAGTCAGAAGGTAAAGCCAAGACCTTCTGTTCAATCCAAACCACAAGGACCAGCTGGGGCACATGACATATGCATGAAACTGCTGCCACCTCCTCCATGGCACATGGTATGGGTCAAAGGCAAACCTTCCCAAAATGCCACTCCACTGGAGAAGCAGAGCATGAATCTTGTGTAGAGTCAGGCCAGTTTATGGAAGAATTCAATCACGCAGTTGCAGGGAATGAGAGGACCAGACTCGATGCCCCAGGAGATCCCTTCCTGTCTTGGACTCCTATGACAAGCTCTACTACACACGTACTTTAGGAGCAGTGATGTTTACTTCATCATAGCTCCTGGAATTGGGAGCCTGGCTTGGGCTATGCCCATATTTTGGGGAGGATGGGCTTTGCGCTCCTCTCGTAGCTGTGTGTGTACAAACAGGACAGCAGTCTGTAGCAGATGCATGGAGGAGAGGGGTTTGGAGAGTACCTACATCTTCATTCCAGTCCTCCGTGCCCCATTCTTCTGTCGCTGCCCTCCACGCACCTACAAGGATAACAACAGGTAAAGAAGTTACGCGTGCATCAAAGCTCTACCTCCAAGAGCCAGGGAAGCACTGGGGAGCTTTGCAAGCAGCTGAATGGATTTCTGTTTGCCAATCGACAAGTTAAAGCAGTCAACCCCAACCCACAATTCATGGGTAAGGCTACCACAATGGGATTGCCTCAGCCTTGCTCAGGCAGGCTAGGCTGAAAGAGAGGGACCGCAGGGCTGGCAGCTAGGGCAACGCACACACCCCGACACCGAACAGGGAAGCTGAGCTTGGCAAGGAAGCCCCAGCATCATCCCCAGCCTCCCTGTCCCATTTTCCTGATTTCCCCTTGTACTGCAGTAGCTGCAAGTTTCTGCACCCATGAGCAGTAAGTGTTACCCCAGCAGGTCGGACAGAGCACCTCCTTCAGGGGCTTCCTGCCAGCTCTTGTGCAGGACCTCACCACCCAGTTAAACGTTAAGTTTCTACAAAACCCAGGGACAACTGAACCATTCACATGGTTCGTCTTCTCCCCTGCCCCCCAAAAATGTTGAAACCTCACTGCACCAGGATGTCCTGTGCACAGGCAAATGGGAATTGGAAAGGAAAATTTAAGGAACTAAGCAATTCCTGCATTTTCTGTGACCAATTTCAGAGAGATGCTCAAAGTGAATAGCTTAAAGTATCAGGGAGAAAAGCACGAGATTTCAGCCACAATCCAGCACAGCACAATTTGTAAGAGAGCAAAATTTACAGGGGAGGTGGGGGGAAAAAAAAAAGTTTTGCCTGGCCGCATCTTCAACTTGTTCTGTCCCTCACTTCCATCACAGTTTAACCTCAGTACTTTGAATATTACATGGCAACTTCCGAATCCATTAGACAACTTAAACTTTGGTGTGGGAGGAGAGCGAGAGCATTTTACATCCCAAAAAACTCAAAGCGTAAAAACAGCCCTGTTTTGCGCAGCTTGTTTTCAGCCCATGCAAACCAGATCAACAAAACCCGGCACAGCCAACAGGTTTAATCCTGGGGAAATTTACAAGGACGGAACAAGTTGGCATCAGCCCTTTTATAAGCCTAAAGCCTTTTACAGCATAAAAACATAGCATGTAGGGAACAAGAACATTGTGGATTCTTCAGTGGAACATAACCAGGCTTGCTGAGATTTTGGAGGCAACAACACACCAGATCTTCCCATATACACTTTAATTATGAGGCCAAAACATGCAAACAACTGCTTGTCTAGAAGTGGGGGATTTAGTGCATGAAATAAGTACATTATCAGTGAATTATTCTTTTTTCATTGTTGTTTTGTTGAGTGTTTTGTTTTGCCTGACAAGTTGAGCCAATTCAAGAAGCCTTCCTGGATTTTTTTTTTTTTTTTTTTAAATATTCAAGTTAGAAATACAGATATTAATACAACACAACTTCCTTGAGTGCCAGGAGTCTCAAGGTACACTACCCCTTCCTCCCCAGCCAGAAGCATCAGGAGTTCAACACATTCAATGCAAAACACATCTGGGGTTTAAAAACCCAGATTCCACCGTTCCTTAAATTTTTTTTTGTGCCGTCACAGCAGTAGTGGGAAGGCTCCTTTCCAGATTTTCATGGATCAGACAGATCCTACCAGCTCAACCATTACCCAAGAGGTGAAGTGGGAGCTAGAGGCGCCTGGGACAGCTGCAGCTGGCTGGGGAGAGTAGGAAGCTAGGAAAGTTGCCCCAGGAAGAGTTTGTGCATGTAGGAACATGGCACAGGGCGCTCTCAGTCTTTCTCATTTGGGGGAAATGAGAAGAAAAGCAAAGCAGTGCAAAAAGCAGAAGGAAATCCTGCAGACGAAGAGCAGGCATTGATAGGGCTTTCCTGGCAAGTCTGTTTCTCCAGTACTGGGCACCTATTCAGCATGGCTTGTGCTCCTTGCACACAAAGGGACAGATGGAAAACCAAAGACCTGTGATGTACAAGCAGGCATTCGCCAGAAATGCTCCAGAAAGCTTCCTAACCAGCACAGTCTGTTTAGTTTTTTTAAAGAAACTGAGTGTATCTCTCTCCATCAAGCTCTTCCAAAGCGGAGAGCTGCAACGCAAGCAACACCCTGACACTTCTAACACCATTTCAGAAGTGTCGTCTTCTGAACCGCAATCCCTCTCTCTGCTTTAAGACAGCCCTTCAAAGAGCTGCTGCTCTTTAAGCTCCTCAAACCAGGGAAAGGGAAAAAAATAAAATTAAGTCAACAGGCATTTGCAAATATGAATGCGCTGAAGAAGAAAATCCCATTGTGTCTTCAAGATTCCCCCCCACCCCCAATACACTCTCTCTTCATTTTAAACTGGGAGATGAGCAACCAGCTTGCTCCTCCCACAGCCTATCAGGCGGTCTGCTGCTATCTCAATGGCTGCGTACATGCTCCATGCCCCAGCCTGGCAGGGTGACAGGCCCCAAACCCCCCACTCTGCACCTCAAAGGAATGTAAATCCAAACAAAGTCACAGTTTGGCAAAAACACAATGGCAGCACTGGAGCAGATGGCCTTGTGCTGCCTGCAGGAGTTAAAGATTAACCTGGAGGCAAGAATCAGGAGATACTCCAAAGCAACAGAAGCACTCCAAGCATGTCTGCCTCTGGGCCCCTGTGAAACAGACTCTACAGCCTCAACACTCCTCCTGTCCTGACCTTCAAGAGTAAAGTGGCAAGTTCCTCCAGAAGGGCCCTACGCCTTGACTTCCAGACCTCGGGTTAGATGGAGGAGACATTAGTCAAACACGATTTTGGCCTTGTTAAGGATGCCAACACGATTTGGCAGGTATAAGGCAAACTGTATCGTCTCATGGGCTTCATAAGGCATAAAGGTGTAAGAGCATGAAATAAAGTGGCCAGGCACTGAGCAGCTTTGCCATCAAGCATCCTGGTCACCTCAAAATCCACCGTCATCTTCAACTGCAGGGCAAGTCTGCTCAGGTGAAGAAGAGCAGCCAGGCAGCAAGAGCATGCCAAAGCAGCCATCAAGAGCATCACTCACCCAGAGGTAGCTGTAAGCAGAGGCAAAGCACTGAGATAGTTTAGCCAGACTAATTCCCCTTGCAGCATTGTTTTGACCCTAAGCAGAAACATAGCAGAGAGGCCAGCGAAGTGATCACTGCAGAACCGAACTACCGTGCAGAGGAAATGGCACGGGGACAACAGCAAGTCACAGCTTTCTGTATGGACAAGCGAGATACAAATAAGCTGCCTCACGCTTCCTCCCCTCAGGTGGGATACACAACTAAGCTGCCTCACACTTCCTCCCCTCAGGTGGGATACTCTGTCATCAGTGCTGTGGACACAGAGCTGCTCAGGGTACCAAGAAGCAGTGGCTGAAGTTAAAATTTACATAATCCACAAGAATTTGGGTTAACCTCTCCCAATTTACATTCAAGGTGTCAGCATTAGTAAAAGCACAGTCAGAATAAACATCAAATATTCATTAAAATGAACAAATTAAGAGAGAGAAGAATGACATATCCACAGATATTTCATTTTTAAAAAAAAAAAAAAAAAAAAGCTATAAAGTAAAGGTATCCGGGGCAGTTAGTGCACCTGGATGTATCGTACCAGGAGCAGTGTCAAATTTTCGGGGATAATTTGACCCCTCACCCCCAATGAAATCAAGTCCTGAAACAAAAAAAACAAAAAAAAACAAAAAAAAAAGAAAAGACAGACAACCAGTGAAATTTTGACTTAAAGAAGCGCAGGTGAGTTTCAATGCCTCCATTTACACCAGTCACATTGTACCTGTGGATATTGTTAATTTAAAGAGATACCTGTGGCTACTAAAATGGAAACAAAACGACCACGCATGACACAGGTGAACAGCATAGCTGCACGATAAACTTTACAGCTGCCTTGTAGTACTAGAGCAAATTTGAGTTCTTCCATCAGAAAAATCTTCAATTCCCCCCAACCACTTTGTTCCACAATTCCACAAAACACCAACACAGGAAAAAAAAAAACCAAACCAAAACCAAACCGCACACAGAAGCCTGTTCAGACTAGACAGTTAAACTTCCAGCACCTAGAGCTCATCCACTCCCATCCCTTTTTCCTCCAGAGACAAGCGTACTCATTGCCCTTAATACATGGCTATACTACTCTCTCCGGTATTTAAAACTCCATTTCTCAGTCGATAAGAAGATGATCACCCAATCTCCTAGCATTTTACAAAACCATGCTTAGTTTTTTTTCCCCTTTCAAAAGAGCTCTCCATTTTCTGGACCAAAAAACCCCAAACAAACAAAAAAAACCCACCACCACAAAAAACCACACCAAGAAAAAAACACCAAAACACAATCCAACCAAAAACCCCTACACTAACAATGTGTAGTAAAAAGGTATCACAGTTTACAGTACTTTATTACTTTATTTCTCTCTTTCCAAAGCTACCAGTTTTTCAGCAAATACAAGAAATATGGAAGTGGCCTAAAGCAACATCAGTATGGTTGTGAATGCTTCTTATAACCAAGATGTGGTATTTACTTGAATGCTCAAAAATAATGGAAAAATAGCTTTACTTCACAGTGGTGCAAGATGCCTCCATAAAAAAAAAAAAAGAAAGAAAGAAAACCAACCCACTCTTAAGAAAACCCACACAAACAGACTACTTACGATTAAGCATTGTCCCTTGCGACTCTGTGCAGTTATCACACTGCAATAATCTGAGTTCACTTGTGTCTTGCAATAGTGCACATACTTGGAAAAAAAAAAAGTACCATTTTTCCAATGCAAGAGAATGTACAAGGGCAGACTGGCGTTCAGGAACCACCCAGTGAAGAAATGTTTGCTTCAAACAGGCAAGCGATGAAGATTTCTTTTCAGCTAGCTTTCTGTAACAAGGTCTCATCCTACGGCAGTTCGAGCAAGGTGGCCATGAAAGAGAATGCTCCCCGTATCGAAATCAAGAGCAAGACATCTGAACTCTGAGTAATATTCTCTGGAGGATGCACCAAATATCAGGAGAACTTGTGTGTGTTTATCACACTGCAGTTTATAAAAAGACTCTTCCAAAGCGGCAGCATGGTTACTACATGGAAAACAAACGGAAGCAAGTGTTCCTGTGCCTCTGCTGGGCAACAACACACACAAGCTCACACCAGAACAATCATCCAGCTCCCAATCTCCAACGTGGTCACCCTAATGGATACAAAGGCACCTCTGGGTGCGAAGAAACAGGGTCACTGAAATCCATCTCTGAACTAACAACCCATTCCTCTGTCCCTGAGCCAAAGACCTACCCAGAACCTCCTCAGCGCAACTGGATGGACACAAAATCCACTTACCCTCTAAATACAAAACAGCGAACACACACATGAAGACCACTTACTTGTGCCATCATCTGGCTCAAAGCTGCCAGTGTTGTTCCACGTGTTGTTGTTGCTATTCCCGTAGTTCTCATCCGTGCCAGCCGGCTCGGCATAGTCAGCTGGGTTGAAAGTTCTGTAAGAAATACGAGGATGGAAATGTTTACTCCCTCTCCCTAAGCATTTTAAAAGCAACTGGTTTTATTCAGACCATGACACATCTCAAAGAGTCTCAAAAGACAGTTCTCTCAGCAGAGGCATGCTTCAGCTACACCAGCCATTGCAAATTTAAGTTAGCATGATGGAGTTTTGGCTTCATTAACAAAAAAAGGAAAATCAGAACACAAATGACTGACACAAACAGTACTATTCATGCACAAAGACTTTTATTTTTGCTGTGGTTTGTACCAGTGAAACCTACCCCATGCCTTGAGCTGAAAATCTTCCCCCTCGCCTTCCAGAGCCACCTGTAAAATATACACACGTACTGCTGAGCATCTCCCTTGGCTCTGCATCACCAGGAAAGGAAACATTTCAACAACATATGGAGTTCTGATGCCCAGAATATGAAAGTGGTGAGGATCTTCCTGAGCTGATGTGATTTCCAGCAGCGTCTTTATATGTATGGGAATGACCTCAGCTGGCACAAACCGTAAGTACCGGACCTCAGGTTCTGATTTCTGCAGCATGTGTCCTCAGCAACAATTCCTGAGCAGCACAGATTTTGTGGGAAAATGAATTTCTGCTGCTGAATATTTGAAACCCAAGACAAGCATTTGCACAGCAATGGTGCTCAGAGACACATGAGCAAGAATGAGGAGGATCCAGATTCTGTTGCTAACAAGCATTTGGCCTCACCTGCCAAATAGTCACCTTAGTTTCTTCAACTTCCCACCTCTATACAATAAAGTCCTATTTTTTCTAACTCCACAGATGGGATGCAAGAACAGATACTGTTTCTAGCATGCTTAAGGTGGGGAAGCCACGTGTAGGCACTAAGTGTAAGCATAAGAACAGAAAAAAAATCAAGTGCTTATTTTCAGTTTGGCAATTCCTCCCATAAAAAGAGGCTTTCAAACCTCATGGAGGAGATAGATCTGCTGATGTAATTATTTTCCTCCCACCCCCTCTGACCTCAAACCCCATGTGTACCTCGGCCTCGGCCACGTCCCCGCCTCCCTCTTTCTGTGCCTCTTCCAGAAGATCCTCCACTCTTACCACCGTCTAGTCCATTCTCCTGGCCCCGAACTGAAAGATAGAACAATGCAAAGACAATTTCAAGATTCATCCTACTTTAGGGAGGATACAAGACCAGACCTCAAACACCAAAGTGCAGTGGCTGTGTGGGAGACCATGCTGCCAAACGCTCCCATAACTTCTTTTATTTAAGCTGACGGTATTAAGGGTATCGCTCAAGGAATCATCTCAGACAGGGGAGCATGAAACAGATTGCCACACGCAAAAGGATGCTTTTCCTCAAAGACATGTCTGACCAAGAAGCTTTACTGATAGCTTGTATGCAGCACAAAGTGCCTCGGTGTGCACCGTGACAGTTACGGGTGTTATTAAAGGGCAGGTCCATACACTCTCTTCCACGGCTGGCACCTCGCCCCCGCCTCGGTGGCCCACCACGTCGTCTGCTGAAATCCCGATCCCTCTCCCGGTTTTCTTTGCTTTCTTCACTGGGTTCTGTCTGTCCACTCTCCTTCTGTCCTGAGACACCCTTCTTCTTCCCGACCATTTCCCAGGAATGCTGAAGGTTTGCAGAGGGGAAAGGAGTTAATCACAGTTTGACTGATGCAAGATGCAAATACATGCATATTTAAACATGCTACAGAGAATATAACAAGGATCTCCAGAAAAATCGTTTCCAGCCCAATTTTTTTTAGAAGAGTCTATCAGCCTACACACAGTACAGTTTCTTCCTTCGAGGAAAGCTTTCTTACAGCTGACTGGCATGCAGTTTCAGGTAACAGGAGACAAGTTATTCTATTTCTGCAAAGATCTACTAAACCTCTTAAATAGAGCAGACATAATACTTACTCAAGATCAAAGCGTGGTTAGATTTACCCTGTTTAGGGGAAAAAACCCAACCCTGCCATTTCATATAGGTCACTGTTTTGGGGGTGCTCTCAGAATAACCCAGGTAAAGGTTCCAAAGTCCTCTGCAATCAACATTTCAGTGTAAGTTATTCTCTCAGATGCAGAGTGATTTAACAAAACCCCTCCCCCTAAACAGCAGCTCACAGACAGAGGAGTATCACAGAGTTTATACAACAGGCAAGTTCAAGTCATCCCAAGTTCAACTGTAAGAAGTTAAGCATGCCTCCAGCTTACTGCTGTGGGCCCGCATTGGTTTATTTTATGACAGTCTGCAGTGGTTTCATACCCTTAAACTGATGCTGCACACTGTTAGAACAATTAAAAATAGTCACAAGTCATTGACAAACACTTGAAAACATAACTGGCAGACAAATAAACAGCTGGGTTTGGATGGCAACATGCAGGGACAGTGACAAAAAAAAAAAAAAAGAAGCACAAACTGTCTTCAAACCCAAGGCTGCTGAAGTCTCCATATGTATCTGGCTCAGAAGGAAATTTAGGAAAATATTTACTTTGAACATTGTAATTTTAAGCCAAATCTAACCCAATGCTAAGATCATTCCATCTCCTTTACTGTTTGAAATATGGTACGTTATGAGTAACTAGGTCAGCAGGTGAGCTGTCTTGATCATCACGGGAATATCTGAGCCGTTAGCAAGTCTGTCTCTTATCAGAAAATCCCCTTTACTGGACCACTGCACAAGCTGAACCCAGGCCAGCAGCAGCTCCAAGACTGCTGACCAATTACACTGCCTGTGCTCAGTGCTGCAGGTACCAGCCCACAGGCCCCCCATGGCACTGCAGGGTGGAGAAGTGGCAGGCACTCAAGGGCTTTGCTCTGCCAACTCCATTTCTGCCTCTACAAATCTTCTGCAGTAGCCATGCCTTGCCCTGCATCTCATGCTGCTGGGAGTTTCAGCTGCTCGAATAAAGCAGGTACTGCTACATAACGCGGTTTGCTGCACACTATCCTGGCTGCTGTTTTCACAAGCAACACGTTTATCTAGGAAATGCAATTGCTGGGATAGCAGGAGTTTGTCATTTAACTAGAAGCCGCCGGTTACAAGGGATGTGGAGGAAAATACAGTCATGGCAGAGCTTTGCCTCAGCAATGCACATTCATATCATCCCCCTTTCTAAAAGGATTTTCCAACAGCTATTTTGTTTGGTTGTCAATGGAAAGGGCTCTCTAAAGGCAAGGACGGACCCTTACATGCACTGTAATGAACTTGGCTGGTGCCAAAGCTAGCAAAGCATCTGACATCGGGGAGCAGCTACATTACACAGAATAAAGTCTGAGCTGTCCAGCTCATCCATCTACACTCAGGGCTAATAATGAGAAAAAAAAAAAAAATCAGCTAATGCATAATATTGTGAAGTGATGTTTAGAGCCTTCACTCTACAAAGAGTTGAATTGGCTTCAGCCAAACCAGGGTACAGGGAGGGTATGTTTGATCAGCAGCAGTTTGGAAGGATCTGATATTTGCAGGCTTTTTACTGGGCTGTAACAGAACTTGCATCTCTGCTGTCTTTGTCACAAAAATGAATGACATGCCACACACCAGGCAGAAGGTTCCTCCTAAGCAAGCGCTCACTTGTTCTCAGAGCTGACTTTGGCTTGCCTGAGACAGGCACCTGTGTGAGTGACAGCAGCCAAGCCTAACTCCACAGAAAACAAACAGCAAAAAGACCCTCAAAAACGTGGCATGGGCAGCGGTGTACAAGCCAGTCAGCGCATTGCTAAGAACCGAATGTTTAGGGCCAGAGACACAAAACTGCATTAGTCTAACAGAAATGAACCACAGCTGACACATACCTGCCTTTCAACACAAGTCACTTAGCCCTTGTGGGAAAAGATAAGTTACTTCAAGCTCACGGCAGTGTGAAAGCTTATACAGATGCCACTGTACTGTTGTCAGAGTGCTTGGATTCAAAAGGAATAGGAAGCAAACGGTTTACTGCATTTTCCCCTCTACTCCTTTGGGCCTGCTGACCACACTTGTATTCTGTGCAAGCCTACAGAGAGCAGCGTTAAGAAGCCAGGACACAATCACACTTTACATGCTACTTATGGAACTAATCAGTCATTTTGGCTCTTGTTATCTAGACACCACTCTATGTCTTGTCTCCAAATATGCAGTTACACTGAACTGGGCCTCACCAGATTTACAGGACCCAATCCTACCGTGTCCGGATTGCCCTCCAGCAGCACGTTGATAGCTCTGTTAACATCTCCGTTGCAGTCATGCAGAGCAATCACACACTCATCCTGGTTCTTGCCTGTGATGTCAATCAGCTGTAGAGAAGACAACACCACAGTCAGCACGTTCTAAACCAAGGCGGCACCAAATTCTCTATGAAACTCCTAGGAGGGAAGCAAGCTGAATCCCAAACCAGAAATCCTACAAAGAAATGTCAGGGTTTTGGAGTCTCCCCAGCTTCCTCAGCTTAATTATGTCCCCTCAATGAGAAGTAACTGAGAGTGGGAATTTCTGAGTTACCGCTGTTTCACCACAACCCACCCTACAACCTCCTTTTCTCAGGATAACATCATTCCCTGCATGCTGGTGCTCAACATGGCAGGCATTAGAGCCCCTGAAAAACAAGCCAGTCCAAGGAAATTCAGCGAGCAGCCAGCCACGTCCCTCCCACTCCCTGCAGCATTCACGGTATTCTTGACATCGATCTTGCCCTCCCATCAGGGTTCACCCTCACTTTCCACACTCACTTGTTTCACCTTCTCCTCAAAGTCAGCATCGTTGTGGTCCGAAATCATCTGTGCAAGTCGAATCTGTTCTGCAGTGGCCTAAAGAAATTGAATGGAAAGAGAGCATGGTTAGAGCAGCGTGTTTCCAACAAACCTTCCTTCAAAGGCCATACCGCTTCCCTGAGATATCTGGAAAGGAATCTATACGGTGAAGAAGAGGTGCAAACAAGGGTCAGAAGAAAGCAAGCTTCAGAGAGAAAGTCACGCAGAAGAGGAGCAAGCGAGGGGAGTCTGGAAGAAAGGGATGTACCGCCGGATGGCCTCGCAGCACCACGTGAGCGACAATCACCTAAACTACGACCATTTTGAGGCAGACCTTACCACCGCCAGAACGTCAAGACCCACTGCAGGCAGCTTCTCAGCCACTTGCGTTTATTAAAGTGAACAGGGAATGGTCAGATGGAAGTGAAAACAAATCTCAGCCCCGGCTCCCAGCTCGGAGGCACCGATGTGGAAACCCCACCGTCAGTGGCCGCCCAATTAACCTGGCTCTGTGAGCAGCACCCTGCAGCATGCGGGAAGTTCGTTAGGCCAAGCCCAGCCGTTAGCGCTGCACCAGGCAAGAGTGCCAGGTCTCCACCTCCAAGCTAACTGGTTTCCATGGACGCTGCTCTTACCTGCGGCCGCTGCTTGTGCTGTGTCTGGCTCTGTGTCTGTGTCTGCTCCCAGTTCCCCCGGGCTCGGTTAGTGCCCACCGATGTCATCATTTACAGTATATACAAATAACAGTATTTACAAGGTAGAACTCTGTGGTGGGTCAGGGGAAAAGAGAGAACAGACTGTTAGAAACCAAAAACAAAAGGCAGCACCAAGACTGAACGATCGCGTGGGCAAGGCAGCCAGTAAAGCTGTCGTGGGCCCCCACCCTCCCCGCCGCTTCCCCAAAAGCCATGGCAGGCCAGCCTACCATTTCCACGTGCCCCCAAGACAAAAAGGCCACTTGTACTTCTTGAGGTTTCTACATTGCTACCACAGCGGAGCGCTCCAAGTGAAACGTCACCTGCATCCAGGTGGGAGCGATCGGGACCCAGGAGCAGAAGTACGTGGGGTAAAGGGTTTAACAACTCTTTACGAAAATGCAAGTGTGTGAGTGGGCACCCAGCCTACCATTTCCACGTGCCCCCAAGACAAAAAGGCCACTTGTACTTCTTGAGGTTTCTACATTGCTACCACAGCGGAGCGCTCCAAGTGAAACGTCACCTGCATCCAGGTGGGAGCGATCGGGACCCAGGAGCAGAAGTACGTGGGGTAAAGGGTTTAACAACTCTTTACGAAAATGCAAGTGTGTGAGTGGGCACAGATTTGCCATGGCTGGGGCCATTAGAGGCTAATTCAGCGATTAACTGAAGCAAGGAATGCTTGAAAAAAGCTCTAAAGAAACTTCACTTTGAGAGCAGAACATCTCAGAGCCACACATCAGCTACTTCCCCTTCTCCTTTCTTGCCTTCAGAGCAGGGGAAGCAAAAACATTCCAGTAATAAGTGGTGCTACAGGTTTGTGGGATACTCTTTTAAAAAAAATACCACCCTTGTAAAACTGCCCATTTTTGCTTGCTTCGATTATTCCCCAGAACTGAAAATATTGAGTTTTCTTCTACTGAGTATTCCAGACTAAAAAACTACCAAAAAAGTGAACTAGATGTCAACAAGTAGTAACAGCCAGTAACGTTGTTAGGAAACTGCCCGAGGCAAAAAATCCCAGTAAGAGTTCGGGCCATGGAGCATCCATAGCAAGTGGAGTTTTATAACCTCGCACTGGCCTTCAAGGGAAGACCGGACACTTAGACCAGGATCAGCACTGAGCAGTTTTACGCTGCCTATTGCCTCCCAGACACAAGGAATGCCAGGCACATCCCACAGCACTCGCCAGGACTTGCTATTTCCAAGCCCCTGCAATCACAATAATCGCAAACTTCACATTTTCGGATTTCGTTAGTAAGACTGCGATGCCTTCGTCCAAAGCAGCAGGGTCTGCTCCAGGTGCTGGTGCTGCAGGCAGATGCTTGGGACAAGGGAAGGAGCCACAAACAGAGTGTAAGAGCAGGGAGGAAACCCAAGCAAGCAAATCCGACCTGCAGTATACGATCTGAAACATTGCTTGTGAACACCAACGTGGCAGCACGGAGCAAGACCTGGTGTGCAAAGCAGGGAAAGCTCAGAAGCAGTGGTAGCAAACAGCCCTGTAAGAACTGGGGAGTCTTGTCAAAGTCCACAAGCGGAGGCCTCGACCAGGCTGAGAGACCTTTCCCAGAGAGCATGGGGACCCTAACGTCACTTTCGCACCATGGCTCAATGCACATGCCACCGCTCCTGCTCCCATCAGCGCCTAGTGTGTGTTTGTAGGCAAGTTTTCAAAAGCAATTGCTCCCATACCTTCCCACAAAACCTCAAAAGTTTGCCCTTTGGGGCCACCCATGCCTCGCGGTAACTTAAAAACACAGTTTTCCAGCTATACAGTGCCAAGGTTTCTTGTCAGGCAACAATCCAAGCTACCTGTCCAGTCACCAGGACCCCCTGAGGTGCGTGTGACACCAAGCAGATTTAAGGAAGAGCACCAAGCCTGGGCTTCACCCAAGGCAGAGCAGACAAAGCCTCCTGGGCTACGCAGCCATCCCTCCCACACTCCATGCAGGCTCCTTCCCCACAGTATTTATTTTCACTCTCCACCACTACGTCTCTTCCAGTTCTAAGTGTTTGACGCACAAACAAGTTATCATATTAAACCAATTTGACAGCAGAACTGCAGGCCCAGAGGGAAGCAATCCTGCACGTTTGCAGTAACTTAATCTGCAATTTCAATAGGATACAGGTCCAGCAGTCTGCTGCCCCGAACCTTTGTGCAGTGGCTGGGCATTGTTCAACAGCTGCCATGCTCTGCTCTGCCCAGCTGTCCTGCCACGATTAAATCATTCTTATTTTTTTTTTCTTTAACACGCAAAACGCACAAAAAACCCCATCTATTATAGAGATATCAGCCAGGCCCTGACTCTGCTAAGACTGTTGGGTAAGCAGGCGTCCCCATAAAACACCCCATGTGCTGCATTGAGGGAAGATGACTCGGCTGCTGAAAATTTATTCCTCAATCGTATAAATTCAGTATAGCTCATGGGCAACATTTAACTGCAAATCTTGGTTTTTCTGACACTTGAACTCGCCCTGCACTGAAGTAACATTAATATGAGTTTACTGGTTCAAAGCAGTTTTCATCAAAAGTGGTTTGTGGGTTTTTTTCCCCCTCAAAGAGCAAACCCATATACATTCACCAAGAGAGATGTAATAAAAAAGGGCAACTTCAGCCAAAGTGAATCGTGGCTGATCCACACCAGAGAAACATCGTTAAACCAGGTGAACGCTTACATTTCGAGACAACGGGAAAGCAGTGCATTCATACAGGGTTTAGGGAAAACAAAAAGCTTCATAGCTACAGGTTACAACACCTTTTCTTCAAAGAAGCTGCAAGTAAACATGCTGCGCTTTGTCGTCACCCCTTTTCCTTTTCAGACTACACCGCCACTCGCCTTCCACGTCTAGAGAGGAGAGAATCTCAGCGACACGAAACGTGAAGTGCGGAGTCTCCAGAAAAAGAGGTGATACAGAAACGTAACAAACTGTTTATTTTATTAGAAATTTCAGGTAAGTTACAATTTTAGAACAAGAATCTGTCGGTCACATCCACTATCCCCGGCTGTGTCAGACCTGCCGGCTGATGCTGGGCGAGTCCTGGCACATCCCAACCTCAGTTTCCCTTATCTGTTAACACAGAAAATTGGTATTGCCGTTTCCCTCCGACAAAGCTTAATTAACACGTGCAAAAGGCTCCAAAGGAAAGGACCACAGAGGGTCAAGCACTCAGAAAGATTTTCCTGCAATGTGGGGCAGAACAAGCACCCGAAGGAGCCCGATGCGGGGGGCTGGTTTATCAGTGTTACCATTTTTCCTCTGGAGCAAACGCATTGCAGCTGCAAACCGAATAACTCCCGTGTGTGCAGAGTACAAGATTTTGGGGGCGGGAGGGGGGAAGCCCCCGGATATACCATCAGAGACCCCAGACTGGTACCGATGTGCAGCGCTTTATTGGGAAGACTCACCGGCCGGTGCTGCCGCCCGGGAGCACGCAGGCAAAGCGCC